ATCAGCATGAATGTTTTAGAAAATCTTCCCTATGCAGCTATGCTTACCAAATACCATTGTAAGAGTATCTATACTTCTCAGTAAAAGCGTAAAATTAGGTCCAGAGCTGTAGTTATTGGGTAGAACAGTATTCATTTTAAATTGTAGGTTTTTTTCAAATACTCTGCGTAAGTTATATAAGCTTTCAAAAAAAAAATTATCTTTTTTTTTTTTTATACAAAAACTACAAAATCTTAGTAGTATTTTGTTAAAAAAAATTATAACGAATAAGTCACTTTTAATCTGCATTAGTAAGTCAATTTAATAATTAAAAAGTTTTTATTCATAATTTAGAATTCAGATAGAGTTTAGTTTTATAATGTTCTTTATTTTAGGCTTACATTTAACTATTTTCTTTATATTTTATATGTTTATTACATTCTTTTCACCTCCAATTCAATGTAACAACCAAGATTATACATACTAAAAGTATACCTTATCTCTGATAATTGTTGATAATAAAAAACAATATATTCTTTTCCATTTTAGTTAAATAACAACAGCCAATATTATTTAATATACTATTAGCTATTTATTATAATGTTAAATATTTAAATTCTTAGTTAAGTCACGCAAATTTCAATTACTATGAGTGCTAAATAAATATAAAATTGAAGTCTATTATTTTAAGTATTAATAATTCTTTGCTTTAGAGAAAAAAAAATTAAAATTAGTTATTACCACTTAAGTTTTATTTTTTTTGGTTTGGGTTGGTTAGGCATTAGACAGTAACTATTACGCTTGTCTGGATTTTGAATATGTTGAGCTACTTCATTAAACAGATACAATTGTCTTTTCAAACTAAGTTCACGTGGAATAATTGTATCTGGAAGAATTAATTCACTATTTATAGTTTTTGGGAATAAAGAAACTCGTGCAATTAAAACTTCAGTTTCATCATCATTAAATGACTTTTGAATTTTTACTTTTCCTGAATATTCTTTAGATATAATAAAAAGATGCTACATAAGAATAGATAGAATCGCGATAAAAAATTGATCCAAAAATTGACTCCAATTATAAAAAGTAATTCTCTTATTCCTGTTAGAGTCAAGAACTGTATCAGCTTTGTTATATCCACCAGTTGTAGATTGTTCAATAACATAAATTAGATCTTCTAAATTATCTACTTCTAAATCTTCAAGTTTTAATTTAAATAACTCAAAAAAGCCATCTAGCCCAAACTTTGTATAGCCGGCAACCATAAAACTATATGTTATTTTATTATGCAATCTATTTATTACCTGCCAGGATAAGTATTTAATCATCGCATTGTTTTTATTCTGGCCAACACAGTTATCTGCATGAATGGTAACACACTTTTCACCAAGCCCATGGGTAGAAAAATAATGATGAATAAGAGATATTACTGTATTTGTGCCTTTTTCAATACTCTGGTTTTTTGAAATGAGATAATTAATCTAAAGAAGTTAAACATATTTTACTGACTATGGTAATGGTAAAATCTATAGTATAAAAAAAAAAAAATTCAACTGCTATTCAATGTTATAAAAAGACTTTCGTATAATTGGCTATTTAAATTGTACTTTTTAAAAAAAAATCAAACTACAAAAAAGAAGTATATAAAAAGTTTTATTAGGGTTGTTAAAAATAATCCAAATCTCTGTT